CAGAAAAAACCTAAAAATATATTTTTTTATTCTTCAGATTATGCATGAAAAATCTTTGATAGATAAAGAACGGATGGTTTTTGAAAAAAATTGACGTTGACGAAACAGAACTTTTAGAAACGTCAACATAAGAAAAAATTTAAAAGTGGGAAGCTCTCACGGGCTAAGTATTCACCGCCATTCACCACAACCGCGATGTTCATTTTAACTTTATACTGATACAAGAATTTCTAAATAGATTTTCTATGGACGCTAATATATGAATGTCAGTTCTTAGTAGTAGCATAATATAATGTCAGCTGAAACTTGATAAATACCGGTTAAACTATAGACATCCGGTACTCGCGTACGGTGGTGGGAGTAGGAAGGGGGAGGGGAAGGGCTCAGGACAAGCCCCGCTACCCTTCCCAATTTGCGGAAATGTATAGTTTAGGAGTAATATTTTTCGTGTAAACTCATAACCTCACTTTTTTACACAGGAATATTGACACAAAGTTACTTCTGCAACAGCTTCAGCGCTGCGGGAAGTGCAGCCCCTTCGCCCTTGCGTAGCAAAACACAGGCGCCCTTGCTTGGCTTATTGGTGGCCTTCGGCAACCAGCCTCAGCCGCTACCAGGTTCACTCAGGGGCCTAAGATTTGCTACAGCGGGCGGTGCTCCTCTCCCTCCACGCCTACAGCTTGACAAAAAACACTCTAGGGGTAGGGCAGACAAGACTACGTGAAGTCGGGGCGTGCTAATTCGGTTTTAGAACCGATTCCACCAATCGTATCTATAAAGTCAGGTTGCCCTAAACTCTGCTATGATAGTGGTCAATAAAATAATGTAATGCGAATTGTTATAATTTTCTTTTCCGAAAAACCTCTCGACTGCTCTCCACTACGACTTAATTTGTTGCATAATACGAGTCCCATCTTCAGTCACAAATGGATTATCTGAGTCCGAGTGATTAACTTTTTTTATAAGTTTATCTGTTATGGAATGTAGTAAAGTTAGAAGTAAGGAGTAAGTACCAACTCCCATAGGAGAATAGTTGAAAAGTGTCCATCTGTAAGCAGTAAATAACAGTTTAACTACACACTACTACAGCACTCGAGTAGCTATGGCGTATGTTAAATCGCCGCAAAATACGTTGAGAGTGATTTTGAAAACAAAATTTTTGAAAGCAATAAAATAATTATTGTAAAAAGAATTATGGTGAAAATGTGTGCAATAAAAAATTATAAAAAGTTCTTTAAAATTTAGACTGTAGCTGTAGTGGCGCCACCCTTATTTAACGCTTTCCTACGGACACTTTTTTTATACAGAGTCTGTACTCCTTACTTCTACACTCCATAGTATCTGTGTTAAAAAAAAAACAAATTGACATATTTGCGTTTCGTTATAGGCAAATTTTGGTGAAATTTATTTTTATCGTAAATAATTCAAAAGGCATTTCTGAAATCCAAAAACAGTGTAAAAGGTTCGAGTTCAACCCTGACAAACGTCCTAAATTAGAAACAAAATCTGATAAGCTTGCGTGATAACAGTATTTAATAATGATTGTACTAATCCCTACCGTATCGTGGAGGTGTAAGAATATCCACTATCCCATCCCGTGAGCGTCGTAAGAGGTGAGGAAACTGAACCATCCGCGTAAAGGCGGCATGAGAAACCATCACTACAGAACTGGTGACTGCACTAGTAATGTTTTCCATTTTACACACATCACATCCATTTGGTCCAGTGATTGGGGTTGGTGTTTCGAAATATTATTTATTTGTTCATTTTAAAAAGGCCTACCTAAAATTGTTACAATTAAACATACTAAGTAGATCTAAAAGTTGTATAATACAGTCTTATACTAATTGCACAATTACTTATAGGTAAATTAACATAATATATCGCTGCTTTGGAAGAATAGCATATTATTACCAAATACTACAAAATTAAGTTTTCAACAACATTCAACGTAAAATGATCTGTTTTGTATACACAATTAAGATCATATTTCTATAACAACATTTACGGCCGTGGCGCCACCGAAAGACTGTATCCTATTGGTCAATTTTGGCAGCCGTTTTTTATAGACAGCGTTGTATCGCCAGTTGCAACTTGTCCTTAGAACTGAACACTCGGTTGGTTTTCTGGAATATGGTCATATTACAAAATAATACAAATTTTGAGTGCGCATTTATCTAGAACGCTGCATTACTTCGAGACAGAGGCGGCGTAAGGCGTGGGCGACGTGGGCCACCGCTTACGGCCTCGCGATCCAGGGGGCCTCGCGCCCTGGAGGTTTATGCATTACTTAAAACCGTAAACGCGCTGAAAAAATTTCATTGTCTGAATCGATATTATTGACATAACTAAATATGTTTTTATTCAGTCTAGCAATATTATTTTGCCTTGCTATTGCGGGGAATCCCCGCAGCGGGGCGATCAGTATATATCCATGGGGGCGACAATGGCTGAGGATTTCCCGTTCTGTTTGTTAGACATAAAATACTGACTTTATTTAATTATGGGCGCGTGGCAATCGAGTAAAGAGTGTGGTACAGCAGCCCACGTGGTTGCTGTACGTATATTTTCGCGCTGTACGCACATGAGTAGATAAACGGAACAAACACAAAGCTTCTTAAAGAACTTGCAAAATTATTACCTGTTTTGGAAGGGTTGTCACTATAGGCGAAGACAAATTAATGCTCTAGAACGTTTACGTACATTTTGTGACTGGATTAAAGAATATCGACAAACTTGTTTCGGAAAATGCTTGTGTGGTATTTAACAGTTTTTTGTTATGATCTGCCAAAAGACTTTAAAAATAAAAGAGTAGCCAAAAAGAAAAAGATATTGGATTATGAAGGCAAGGATTAACCTATATAGTCTCCTAAAAGTCGGTATTAAACTGATTTTTTCAACACCATACTTGTTCAATTATAACAAATTTGGATTGGAGATTTATGGCTTTAAACCCACATTTTGAAAATTTTGGTTTCCTTTATGATTTAAACAAGTTAAAAAATATTCCAAACCGTCTAATATCAAAATAACTGTCAATATGTACACAGCCCTGCGAGTGGGTGAAAGCAGTGACTTTCAACCTTACAAATTATATGAAGAATTACAATTAATGATCCCTAATTTACCTAACTTCGTAACAGATGTGAAACAGCTTCTTATTGGAGAGAGTTACAGAAAATAATTTAAAAAATATACCCAAACATTTACATCGTCACTTAACAATACCGATCAGTACAGCCTCCGCTGAAGTAAGCTTCTTAAAATTAGTACTCATTAAAATTATCTGAGGAATGCAATGTCACAGAAAAGACTTTCAGCGTTGAAAGTTTTATCTATCGAGGCAGATATAGCATTCAAGCTGGATTATGAGGCTATAATTAAACAATTCAGCAGGATAAAAAGCAGAATATCTATTTCTTCATTTTTCTTTGAAATTGTTTGGTGTTGGTACTTAATGATTTTGTAAAAATAAATTTCATAATGTCATTTCATAATGTGTTTTGTTTTTTATTTTATATAAACTGTCTTCTTACGCGGGCAGAGGGCCTCACAAAATGTATCTTGCCCACATGAAATTTAGGTCTTGCGCCGCCACTGCTTCGAGATGTGACATTATTGTTTAAAAAAATCTACAAGAACCTTTAGACACTTCTCATAAACAAAGTATCATTTGGGATTACTACGTTATTCTACAAAAAGTAAGTATAACTTAAATGAATTAAAATTAGATATTACTGTTTATAATAAAAAATAGGGTCGATAGTATTTGTACAATTAAAATTAAAACATTTTTCTATATAAATTATTTCGTGATAGTAATAGTATTTTTCGTAATAAGACTTTGTTCAACAATCTGTCGTATTTTTGTACTTGACACAGTATTTCAGATAAAAAGCAACTCGAAAACGCATTTAATTTTTCTAAAATGTCAGATACGAGTACCTACCTAACTAATCGTAATGAGCTTACAGAACGTAATATTTTAGTAGGTACCTAGTATTCTTTTTACCAATCGACTCTACTATTCTAGGTAGCTATAATCTAGGTACCTAGATTCTACGGTAGAGAGAGACTACTACGGTACTTAGGTACTTCATAAAGAGTAGGTATTCTAGGTAGGTACGTAGATAGGTACCTATACCTAGAATCTAGGTCCGACAGGAATCAGAATCAGATAATTGTGTGAAAGTGCGGGTATATACCTACCTAAATTTTAATTGTTTTTATTTTTATTTTAGTGGCAAACCGACGGACACAAAAGCTGTTCCGGAACATCAATGTCCCGTTGAGTATCAAGGGAATAAAATAATTGGTACATACTTTTACATGAAGTGTAAAAGTACGTAGTTAAGTAGGTAGTTGGATTTTTTTTGATTTTATAATAATAATAATATAAATTACCAATAACTATCGAGAAGAATATTATTTTTAACTTTTTGATTCATGTTTCATTAGATACTTTTTCATGTTTTGTTTATGTTACAGGACAATCAAGCAGAGGACAGAATAGGTCAAACGGAACGCGCGATACCTTTACCGTCTGAAAACAACAAGCTTCTAGATGCAGAAGATCCACTAAACCAGGAAGTACATGACTATTGTTCAGATGACAGCGTTAAGGACCCAAATTACCTAAATACTGATGACTATTATTCCGATTCTGATCATAGTGACTTAAATAGTAAGAAACGCGCAAAGCGATTTAAAAAAAATAAGTTTGCTGAAAACATCGACCTCATGATTTCAGTTGCGACTAAAAATTCAAGTTCAAGTCAAATTAGTACGCCCAATTCTCACCAAAAAATTGATTATTCAAACAAGCCCAAACCAGGTCCTTCAAAAATATCGTATATACCACCGAGTAGTTCATCTAGTTCAAGCTCTTCTTCGGACTCTTCTGAAAGTTCATCATCGTCTAGCGATTCTTCAGTCACGGAAGAGGATGCAAAAAGAGTTGAGCAACAAGTTACAGAACCAGATACAGTAAAAATACAGAAATGGATAGAGAACCAGATAGAGAACAAGATTTAGAACAAGTTACAGAACAAGAAATAGAAAAAAATACAGAACAGGATATAGAAATGGATAGAGAAAAAGGTACAGAACAATAAACAGAACAAGATATAGAAATGGATAGATAACCAGATAGAGAACAAGATGTAGAACAATTTACAGAAAAAGATACAGAACAGGATATAGAAATGGATAGAGGTGGTTCTATATATAGGATAATATCTGGTGATAGAGAACAATATGTAGAACAAGTTACAGAACAAGAAACAGAAAAAAGTACAGAACAAGATACAGAAAAAAATACAGAACAAAATACAGAGTCTTCGAAAAAAAATTGGACGTAAACGCAAGGCAAACCCTAAGAACTGGATATCTGTAAGAGCAAACATTTTAAGAAATCATAGCAAAACGTACGTGAATAAAAAGAAAACAAAGTAATTCCCGTGAGACAATTGAAAACTCCATGCGGAGATAAATGCAAATTTAAGTGTAAGGAAAACATTACAGAATTACAGAGAAAAATTATATTTCAAAAGTACTGGGATATGGGAATCAACAAACTTGATTCAAAATTGGATTTGATATTTTACTCAGATAATTGCTGCGGACAGCAGAAAAATCATTATTTGATCGCAGTATACATTTTTGCTGTGCATAATTATGATTTTATAAATTCAATTTGTCATAAATTCCTCATAAAGGGTCATACACAAAATAAGGGCGATAGTGTGCACTCTGTTATTGAGCGTCAAATTCAAAGAAGCCTCAAATCTGGTGCGATCTATACACCTGATCAATACACACAGATAATACGAAGTGCAAAGAAGACTGGTACCCCCTATAAAGTATATGAACTGACCCATGCAGATTTCAAATCATGCAGATGTCAAAAGTTTAGCAACTGCTATAGGCAAGAATTTTTCTAAAAATGCAAACAAGCAATCAGTAAAACTTACTGATATAAAAATTTTAAAAGTTGATCCAGACGACACTCAAAATTATGCCTTCTACTACAAAACATCATACGAAGAGGAACATTTTAATAAAGTTAATGTTGATAAGATAGGGAGAACAAGAAACACACAAAATAATAATATAGTTTTGACACAAGCATACAAAAATAAGATGGAAGTGTGTAAAAAGAAGAAACGAGGATTATTTAGGTTTACTTACTACAAATGAATACAATTACAAAATGTTACTCATTATTCTATGATAATCTTTAGGGTTTTTGTACAGGGGGGTTAGTCATAATAATAAAATGACACGTTGAAAGTATTTTTTTAACGTATTAGTAACTGATTATTATGATCTCAAAGTGTTATAGTTAGATATTTAGATAGCTTTTTAGACTGTTCAAAATAGAGACTGTTAAACTTTTTTTAGAATTTTATTCTTCTATTTTTTATAAAGCATTGTTCAATTTTGAGTTTTTTTGAATTTTTATGTTTTTTGCCAGAATTTATAAGATTCTATGCTACAACAATTACTTAATAATATTAGCTATTTTTAAAGATGTTAAACTTTCTCATTTTCTAATTTTATTATATTTATTACTTGTTGTAAAACCAGTTAAAACTTTAAATTTCCATAAAACATGTCCCATACAGTAAGCATTTTTGTAAAAGAACGACCAAATTGGTACTGTAACACTATTGAATTAAAATAAATAATGCTAAGATGTCACAACTCAAAATGTATCAGTATCACTGAGAAAAACATATTGAATATTTTGTGTAAACTCTTAAAACGCCACTGTTATTAAAAATAACCTTATTTTTTCTAGTATTTTTGTAATGAGACAGTAATCTTCATAAGTTTGTCTGTGTTATTTTGTTATAAGTCTGAGACCTAGTAGTCGTTTTCAATATTTAGTAAGTACTAAATAAGTATCATTTTCTTAAAAACAATTAATAAACATAAACTGTAATATATTTCACGTGTTTTATTCAAGTTTCATCAACATTTGCGCAGTAAATAAAAAATACAGCATTTGCAGATTTGAAAAAACTTTAAAGTGCTCTACTGAAAAATTCACTCAATTTGAGTTACGACAGTATCCTTCCAAAGCAGCGATATGATTTTTATGCTAAAATAAAAACAAAGTCTTTTTTTCGCTTCTTTATTACAAGAGCTTTAAAACGAAAATATAATAAAGCTTTAGCAAAGTCAGTCTTAAGTTCATTTTAAGAAAAATTTAATGATTTAAAGTTCCGAGGATAAATACCTACTTTCTCTGTAGTTTAAATATGGTATTAAATTATCCATTGTTTTCCAAAAATATTCATACGTAATACTGATCATATTTAAGTATGTTTTATGTGTACAAAACTCTCAAAACAATATAATAACAAAAACATGATACAAAAGTTTAGTTTTAGAGGTTTCACGTTCAAATTACGTGAAAACAGCAACTTAAATAGCCAATAAAACTTTTAATGAGTAATCAGAATTTAAAGATCTAATATTTTGAAGAAATATTCTACTTCCAGCAAGCCATCGACATCTAAATCACTGCAATGTATTGCATTCTGTACTTTTGTTTTTCCTAGTTTCGCTCGTAACGTATGAGGACGTAATAATCTTGCAATTTCCTGAAAAACTTTATATAATTATACTATGTCAAACATAAATATAGTCATTGATTAAAACTACTTTTACGGATTTTATCGCGTTTATTTTACTATTATTTTTAATTCCGAAACGTCGGGAATTAAAAAGAATAGTAAAATAAACGCGATAAAATCCGTAAAAGTAGTTTTAATCAATGTGTAGTGTTCGCGTAAATATAAGAAATCATTATAAATATAGTCAAATAATCACTACACATCTATAATCGCAAAATATACTAACAGGATCCGAAGGACCGACTAGTTTTCTAAATTCTACAGCGGTATTCACATTTTTGTCTTTAGCTACTATCTCCATAGCAACACATGGACCGCTTGATAATTCTTCAACCATTCCCTGTAATAAATACAAACAAATAGATACAAAACTTTAATAAAAAGCACAGATCGAACCTCAAATAGAATAGGATGTAATTTTTTCTCTCCAACTGCTATCTCACACACCATATTAAATAACGAAGTATCAGAGATACAAGACCAACAAACAGCGGTGTAATCCATTCTTAGTAAAAATTAGCAGCAGATTTAGTATTTAAAAAAAGTTTTCCATTTAGTGCCTGGACTATTAAAATTACTAAGGGACTTTTCTTTTTTTCACCTGTCTCTATACTCTTACTCGGGCTCGTACTCTTTCGTGGGCAGGCGGTTTATTGCCCATGACCAGTCTATGGAATTCGGATATGGCATTTTCTAAGTAATATACCACCACTGGTAAACCATCATAGTTGCAGTCGCTTATTAGCGGGATATACTGCGTGCAGGTTGGCATTTAAAAAATATGGTGCATTGTGCTTTAACCACGCAAAGAGAATTTTCAAGTATTTTTATTACCTTATACTCCTGAACAATGCCTTTATATACTTCATAAAACTCAGCAGCATTGTCATTTTCCACAATGAACATGTTTAAAGCTGTAACCTCAAACCCTCCTTCATCAATAGCTTCCAATGCAGCTCCTAATTTTCCTTCGCGAATTGCATGCGGTTTTACAATACATAGTGTACAGTTTGATAAAGTCGCTGTTAGACGAAGACGCATGGCACGTAATGGCGGCGGTGGAAAAAAATATTCAATGTCCTGTTAAAAACATTTGCATAATATATTATGTACTTATTAAGACTATAATATTTTTAACAACTGTCGTCAATGTTGGCAAGTAGAACCTATGTCTGATGATGGGTAGATCCAATACAAAGAAAAAGTATACCTTTTTTTATAAACGTTACCACTACTGTGAATTTTTTTATAGGATAGGGTGACAAACGAACACACAATTACCTGATGGTAAGTGGTTGTTGTGGCCTATAGTTATCAACATCTATCCTCCATTACGAATAAAAATGCAGATGCGTTTTCACCCATGAGGTCCAAGATGGAATGCCTCGTTTCCAGTTAAAAGGGTCACCTTGGAGGAGTTCCACATACATATATCGTAGAAGGACAAAAATTCAGTACCGGAGCAATTATTTGTAAGCCATACCAAGTTAACTTTTGCATAAATATAGTATTTCTACTACTTGTTCTATGTGAGATTCAGACGCGCGACCATGGCTTGATATACCAGTAAAATGATAACTGGTATTGCTACCACCATTTTACTGGTGCCCCAAAAAAGTAGCGTAATAACTACATGTAAGGTTATATAATTTAACGTTAATAGGCCAACATGTTAATTATAAATAGAAACATGTACGAAGCCTTTGTAATTTGGCTTTTTTGCGAACATATTATATGAAAGAAATCTTGAATTTGGTAACGGTATCAAACACTGTCCGCAGGCCTAAAGGTTAGCAACCAAACACATAGCCACTGCACTATCGAGGCTCACATGCAACACAGAACACTTAGTCATCTAGAACTTCCTATGCCTGGTAACGCTTGTAATAGTGGCTATTACCGTAAAACGGGGTAAATTGGTCCAATCTTCACTTTCAACTTTAATTTAAACCATCTTCAGTAACGCTTAGGGTATTTCAAGGTATACTTAAGGATGCATGTTAAGCTCTTTTAGATGTTAGGTATAGCTTTAGATTCGCATATTATTGTGATATTTTGAGAAATTCAACAAAAACCCTATTGGATTCCAATTTACCCCTGACGGGGATAAGAGGTTTGAGAGAGAGGTTAATAGGAATTTTAACTAGGGCTGTCACTCTATCTATCCAAAGTAAGTAAATAGGTAGGTAAATAGGAACCTAACTAATTTGAAAAAAAAAAACATTTTTAATGTGTTTAAAAAATCGTATATTAGGTACAGCTTGCATTGCTTGCTATTCGTATATATTTATAGTCTCCACTTTGAATTCACTTGCAGGTAGGTAACAAACTATTAAACGTTTAGCTTAGTAGGTATCAAATATTTTAATAAAAAATAATCTGGTAGGTAACAAAAAAATAAAATATTGTCCTTTCAAATCAAAGTAAAAATTATTTTTAATTGCAGTAATCAGTTCCAGTTTGGGTAATAAAATTATTCTTCTTCTAAAATTTTCAAAATTTCTTCCTCGTCTTTGTAAAAATTCAGACTTCTTTCTCTCTTTAGACGGGTTGAATTACTTTTTCCGCTATTGTGTAAGGTAACCATTTACTGTTTATCCTCTTTATAGGCAATGGCAATTTAAGTTTTATATCTGATATAATTTGAATTTTAGGCTTCTGTGTGTTTTTTGTTTCAAGATTTTCATTTTCTTTGTCATAATCTTGTTTACTTGTGTTTTGGTTCTTTTGGTCTTCATCAACAGTTCTCAAATCAATTTCTTGGCAATCGAAATTTTCATCAAAATTTATTGGCATTTCTTCAATGGAAAAATCAAAAGGTTCAGGAATCACTACATCAGGATCGTGTAATCCAACCGGTACCTCAAATATATTATCGTCATTTATCTCTTTGCTTTCACCGCATATTTTGATATCGCAATTTCTGTTTTCACCGTTGTCTATCTGTAAGTTGCAAATTTTTGGTTTTGTTTTTTTGCCCATACCCTTCCCTTTTGGAGTTGATTTATTTGTTTGCTTTAGTGTTCTTTTCTTTTTTGGTTTCAAAGGTTCCTGATCTTCATTCCTTTCTAATTCCTCAGCACTTACACTTCTTCCTGCCACTACCTCCAATTTTCTTTTCTTTTGGGGTTCTCTAATTTCATAATGTTCATAATGTTCAATAAATTCATGGATCCATAGCGCATTTCTTTTAACAATGATAAAACACTATCATTCATAGCTTTTTTCTTTACCTCTTCGTCCTCTTCTTGGAGAGGAAGCCTTGCTAAAACTTGGTTAGCATCTAATGGGATAATCCCACATTTTCTAAACCCGGCTTTAATATTTTTTTCAGCATTCACACTTAGCTCATCCATTAGCACTTTTAACAGGAATGGAAAACAAGCCTTTGGAACACATGATTGGGTTCTCTCATCGTCAGTTTTTCTCCACTTGTTTAATAAGTGACGCCAAATTATCTTCATGGGTCTAAAAACTGCAACGTCTAGGGGCTGTGTAAGGTGCGTTGAATTCGCGGGCAGAAAAATAAAGTGAATATCTTTTTCCTGGCATAGTTTTATAACATCAACAGACAATTGTGAGGACAAATTGTCTCCTATCAAAATTTTCTTACCCTCTTTCTTTTCCCAAAATGGTATAACTATTGTTTTAACCCAATCTTCAAAAATATCACCATCGAACCAGCCGGATGAAGCCCTGTTAAATCTTGCATTATGAGGCACCCTCATTGTCTATGAATCATATAAATGAGCTGCTTATAGACGACATAAGGAGGCAGGAAAATACCATCTGCTGTGGCTGACATCATCAAAGATATGGACCCTTTAGAGTGATTGACTACACGCTCTGGATACTTGCATCCTCGTCTTACTATCACCTTCTTGCGACCAGGATCATCTGTCAGGTTCGTCTCATCATAATTGATTATATTTTGGGTCGGGACGTTCTCCAAAGACTTTGCCAATTCGCCAAAATATTATTTATTATGTCTGAAGACACTACCGCCCTAGCTCTTTTAATATTCTGACATATTCTTTTGGATAATTTATTTGCATGTCTTTTCATGAACTCATTGACATAGTCTATACCGGGCATGTTATTTTTGAATATTTTGTGCCTAATATTAATTGAGTCTAGATACATTTTTATTATATATCTAAGGTCTGTTGTATCTAATGGGTAACCCCAATCACCGCTTCATCTTTGGTTAGTGCTGTTGGCCTACCGTGAAGTTTCATTTCTCGGTTTTTATGACGGCATAGTACCGATTTTGCTATATTATATTTTTCAGCTACAGCACTTAGGCTATTATTGGTCAAAGCTATCTCGTCTAGGGCTTGTTTTATTACTTGATCATCGTATTTTTTGTAGCGTTTAGCACCTGGTTTTGGTACATAGTACCGAGGTATTCTGAAAAAAAAAACAGTTTATGCACAGTTTATATATTATTTTAATCAAAAATAGTTCTACTATCAGTATTTTATAGCCTATCTGAATGAAGATAAAAGCAAAAATAGGTAAAAAAGGCAAGCTATATAAAAAATTGTTTGGACTCAGATTCGTGCCCGAGGTAAATAACGGTCTATGGCCAAAATAAAACAATGCGGTTTTTAATGCCTTGTATGATGTAAATAATGTTTGTTAAAATCTACATTAAATTACATTTATTTAAGCGACTATTAAAGAACACTTCTTACATAAACACACTTTTATATAAACTGTTAAATCAGTTTATATAAAAGTGCAAATTACGTTATTCATAAAATACCGAAATGAAATTTACTTTAATTTGCTGGGTGGGTACCTACTTTATTTAGGTTTTGGATTTTGACAACCCTATTTAGGAATTCCAATTTACCCCTTAATCAAACCAATATCCCCCACGTTGTTCCAATTATACCTGTCCCCCTCTTGCTTTCCTATTATCTCCAAAATAACCTAAAACCGACTAAAACTAAGAATCTCAATGAAATCACGCAATTATTTACTTACCTTCACGTTTTTTCTAACTCCAATCCACTATTATGTCAAGATATACATCGATTTCACCACTCTTACTCAATATAACTCACAAAAAACTTAAAGTTGAAAGTAACAATATTCGCATGTCCACAATGGCCTCCTTTTCAACACGTTTTTCTTTAGTGAATCCTGATTGACTGACTTAAATGATCAATGTAGCCAGTAGCAAAAAATACAAGCTCGTTCAAAAACTAAATAGTGTTGATTTTTCTTAAATAGAATGTTACTGACAGAACGGTTAAGAAAAGCAGATTTTTATTCCTATTTTCCCCGTTTAACGGTATATAGTGCAGGGACAAAGGAATAGATATTTATAATAAAACCAAACCCTAAAACCAACAGTCTTTCCGGCACTGAATTCTAGGCAGATGCAGGATCGTCAAGAATTTAATATGAAAAGATAAATATTTAAGTTACAAAATTAAATAATCATTCATGATGTACTAAGCTAATCCTGTTGTTCACACCATATGCTCTGTTTGATACCACAGAACAATATAATAAGATGATACATGTTAATGATTGCTTTAACTTTATTGCATGAAAACAGGCAAGAACTTGTGGCCTTATTGAACCTAAACTTCATTAAGGCCCATTTACACAGTACAAGTTCTTTAAATTGTGGTATAAGGCCACCTGAGTATAAAGTTACCCCATATCCTTATGGGGTAGCTTTATTCACAAATAATATTTTTTCAGTACATTTATACAATAACCACTCCTGTATACCTTTGTTGCTTATCATACATGAACATACATATTAAATGTAAGCTAGACTGTTTCATCCAGAGAAAGGAATTGCATTAATTATTTTAAGATTTGGCACTGGCACTGAATAAATGAATAACCAAAATTCTAAATATAGTATTAATTATCATCCTTACCAATTCCAAGAATACTATAATATTTCATCCCATAGAGCAACATGGGCCATGTGCGGAATGTAGGAGAGTCACCATACGCAGGTGTTCACCTCTGTCCTATGCATACAAAAGAACTAGTTGTGGCCTCACAGCTCACTAAACAAAGTCTAGTACTTGGAGTTTCTCTGCATGATAAGACTTCTTAGAACCAGACAAACCGACATCAGGCATAAAATCAGTAAGCTGAAGTGGCATAGGGTTGACAATATAGGATGGTCTGACAATGTGGTAAGACATGTAGGAAGTCATTGGATACAGGTAGTCGAAGGACAGTTCTGTGTGACATTTTTTGAGGGAGACCTGTGTTCAGCATTAGACTTGCTCAGCATTAGTTAAGGGTTGTAACAATAATGATAGTGGTGATTTCACTTTTAAATTTTGACTATATAGTGGTAGTGTAAGAATTTCTACTGCCCTATATCATCCCATAGGTGTTGTAAAAGGTGACTAAAAGAACTGAACCAGGAGGTGGGCAATAAGAAATGAATCAGAATGGAAATAAACCAGCATATTCCTGATAACACTGAATAAAAATAAAATATTGTGATTGACAACCTGCTTTCCCAGCCTGGCAAACTTTGAAGAAGGCTTAGGTTCAGCAGAAGACTTCTAATAGACTGTAATGGTATAGCATTTTTTACAACATTAATGTTAAATATATATTAGGTTACCTGCAATGCAGCTTCAGGATTGGAGGATGTGTGAACACAATTTCTGACCAAGTCAGTTCCATACAAAGCCCTTATTGTACCTGGTTCAGCTTTGACTGGGTCTGGATCTCCAATAATTTTAAGACAGTTTGACACTGCATCTTTTCCAACTAACTCCATACCAAACACAAGCTGACCATTAAGATGTTCTAATAAGAAACTAAAATTAACAAATTTCTATTGTTATTTTTCTTCATAATTTTCTTAAAATTGCAAAAGCAAATTTTACAAATTTAAAAAACAAGTAATTGGTATTCTCTTGAATCCTTTGAAAACTACATTAATTATTTTTTAAACTCACGGAAATTTAGGATCTGCTATAAAGGATCTATATAGCGTATTAATATCTTCTGCAGTTAATCGAGCCTTTTTAATCTTTGTTACACGTAAATCATTTTCAAAGAAGTGATTTACAATCTTGCCCACAATGCTTGTGGGTAAAGGCTTAATCATGACAAAAGTACTGCAAATAAAACATTGCCATTAGAATATGCTTTTAGAATATAGAAAAATACCCATAACAACTAACATAATGATAATATTAACATTATATAGTTAATGTTACACTTACACTTGCACATCTTTATGTAATAATTTTCTAGTATTCTCACAAGCAAAATCAACTATTTTAACTAATCGCCCTAAAATATACAGTGTACAGCCAATATAAAAATTATCTAAAGTAATCCCGTTAACTTTTACTCTCCTAACAAATGTTTTTCGATTTTTCAAATCATACATTTCAATAGTATCATCAACTGGATAGTAAAAAACATTGAACCGGCGAATTAGGCTAGCCTGATTATCATACCATTCTCCAATAAAAGAATATTTGTCTTGATATGCCCCTTCCTACAAATAAATTACCCACATTATATTAATTTTATTGCCTAGTAATTTTAACTCTCAATTTAATACCTACGACATATACCATTATTTATTTTCTTTTTTCAATTAAATTTCATAAACGGAAGCTGGGGAAATCTTTTCTGGGGGAAGCTTTTTAATATAACGCTGGGTGTAATACTAGTGAATAGAGTTCTGTTTTTGTAACCAAAATAAAAACCGGCAACGGCAAAAGCATACAAATTATGTCAACAACAACAACAATACGTTAATTGTCAAATGTCAATGTCAGTTCAACTATAAACTGGTTTTACGGCTCTGGGTTCTAGCTTTTATGAGGCTATAATTTCTTTTGGAATCTTCATTTTTATATTCTTTTTTTTTCATAATATGCTGATACGTCACATTGCAAAGCAATTGAGAGATTTTGACGACAGCTCAACCCAGCGGACAGTTGATGACGACAGCCACTCAAGTTCATAAGTTCATAGCGACCAAAATAACTTGAAGTTTATATCGACGTTAAAGCACTTGTTTCGTCGTTTCCTTTAATAGTTCACACGCGCGGATACGTAATTCACAAAATCGCATCACGTTTATGAATCAAAATCCACTTCAAACCATTATTTAAGGGACAAAACAGGAGCGACAATCCGTCTACGGCCAAGTTCCCGCCAAAATTCCCGTCAGTTCAACGAATCGTTAAACCACTCAGAGTATGAAGTGTAAAGATCAGGAGTACAGACTGTATAAAAAAGTGTCCGTAGGAAAGCGCTAAATAAGGGTGGCGTCACTGCAGCTACAGTCTAAATATTGAAGAACTTTTTATAATTTTTTTATTGCAGACTTTCACCATAATTCTTTTTACAATAATTATTTTATTGCTTTCAAAATTTTTATTTTCAAAATCACTTTTAATGTATTTTACGGCGATTTATCATACCCTGTAGCTGCTCGAGCGCTGTTGAGTTTTTGAACTGTTATTTACTGCTTACAGATGGACACATTTTCAACTATTCTCCTATGGGAGATTATCCTCCTTACCTCTATACTCCGTGACTCAGAAATTAAGGGAAAAAGAATTTATGCCCATACAGTCTTACTAGCACCGCTAGGAGTAATAGTGTTCTGTGCTTACTAGGCTGTCATACTTGACGTATTATGCTTTCAAAACTACAACACATAGCGAGGTATTTTAAACAAGGCTACTAACTAATATGAGCACATAATTTAAAGTTCGCAGATATCACCATTGAAGACTATTATCGAAAACAATTAAACTTCATAATGTTATCCGCCAGCTGGGGTACATCATCAAAACGCGAAAGTTCCTGGGTAGCGTTGATAACTTGGAAGTGACCGTACAGACGTTTTGACTACAAAAACCTTAGAAAATCATCCGGATTTTTCTTTTCATATGAGAACACAAACGCAAACGAACATGCGGCTCATCTGATGAACAGTGACTACCTCCGCCCCTGAACAATGCAACATCAGGGAAATTGCAGATAAGTTACCGGCCTTTTATAAAAGAGTAGGCTCTTCTCTTGAAATATAGGAACCTGCAAGAAAAGGGCCAACTCTTCAAGAAAAGAGTCGTATCAGTCCGGAAAAATCCTGGTGGTAGTCGATTCCACAAAGAAGTTCTGCGATAAAGAAAACTTCTCATAAATCGCACAGTAGTGGTACCGCCAATCATCCAGGTGGTAAGGATGGTATCTTGAGTTCTCTCGCAATGTCCGATAATTAAATTAAGTGGGTGGAATTAATCCGAACAATTCCTCTAAACATTTCCCGTGGTAAATACGATAGAATACGCAAAGAGATGCAACATCCCTTAGCAGCACCAAAGAGTCAAGCTAAACAGAGAGTGCTCGGTTGCCGAAGATTCGAACCACTCTGCACTGGATGCGGTCAAATGGAAGATGCTGGCACCGGGAAGTCCCAGCCCTCAGATAGGAACAGTATTCCATGTGAGGATGAACCTGCGCCTTGTAAAGTTGCAGGCGGTGTGCCGGCATGAAATACTGGTCCCGCTCTGCTGAGCACGCCATGCTTTTTAGAGGCCAGTTTGACCTTCTCTTCTAAATGACCATGAAACTGCACGTCATTCGATATGTCAACGCCAAGGATTTCAATACTGGCCGAGGCAACAAGGGGAGTGCTCTGAAACTGTGGAGATACGACAAAGGGGTTTTTTTAACGGTAAACGTGCAAACTTGTGTCTTCTGGGGATTGAATTTGCCTAGATTTAGTCGCTCCCAATCCGATACTTTGTTTAACAATGTCTCGACTTCAGACACAAGTTTGTTCCGGTACTCGATGACGTTTTCCCGAGAAATATAGGCATAGCTGGTCCAAATAACAATTAATGTTACCTGTTTGGAATATATCATTGATATGCAGAGGAAACAGCGTTGGTGATAGCACGCCACCTTGTGGGACACTATACTATATACTATGACCTTGATGCTCTGATTAGCCAGAAAACAGATGATTAAATTGCACAATTTCTCGGGAAGCCTATAGGAAGGAAGCGGAGTTAAAGATTAATAAACAAAAAGATCACCATCGGGGCGACCCTAAGGAAAACCATATTGGCAGTTACTAATCAGACAGTGCTCCTCATGGTACCGCAAGAGCTGTAGCATAATTTTGGAGAACAAGAAGGTGATGGCGATAGGCCTGTATTTAGACGGATCAGAGTGGTTGCCTTTTTAGGGATGGGGTGCACGAAAGCTGTTTTCCATGATTTTGAGACTGCGGAGTAGGACATACATACATAAACACTCACGCCTGTCACCCAGAGGGGTAGGCAGAGACTACAGACTTCCATTTGGCACGATCCTGACACACCTCTCTCGCCTCCTTCACATCCATATACCTACGCATACATGTTCGTCGGTTAAGGGTACTCCTAATTTGGCCCGTTTTCAATAAATCGCCAATTTGGTCGATACATTTTCGCCTAGGACGTCCCTTTCCGACTCTGCCATTCACTTCTGCAACATAAATTTTCTTTGTCACTCTTTCCTCATTCATTCTTTCCACATGACAAAACCACCGAAGCATTCCTTTCTTAATCCTGGTCACAACATCATCTTGCAAACCACACTCTTCCCTTGTTACACAATTTCTTACCCTGTCATTCAGATTCAGCCCTAATATACTCCTTAACGACCGCATTTCTACTGCGTTCATTCTACTCTCGTGCTTCTTCTGCCACACCCAACTTTCACTACCATACGTTAAAGTAGGGACCAACACAGCATTGTGAATTGCCATACGTGCCTTTTTCGACACATTTTGACTCTTCACAATAGAGTGCACAGCCCTATTTCCCGCATTCACTCGTCGTTCTATATCCTTATGATATCTCCCATCCCTGCTAAATACGCAAGCCAAATATACAAACTCATCTACTTGCTCGATCAACTCCCCTTCTATTCTTATTTCACAAATCGTTTTACTTTCTTCTCTTTCAAAAACCATAACTTTCGTCTTACTTGCGTTCACTTTCATAGCCCTTTCTTTAAATGATCTGTTCATTAATGTAACCATCATTTGCAACTCGGCCGCCGACGACGCAAGAATAACTTGATCATCGGCGTACAAAAGGCGTTTGACGGTTAACTCACCTGTTCTTAATCCGCATTCTTCAACTTTCAAATTTTGCAAACAACTATCCGTAAACAGGTTGAACAGCCACGGGGAAGCCACACAGCCCTGTCTGACACCTTTATGGATGTCAAACCAGTCCGAGTAGACCCCGTTGATCCTAACATAAACACTGGAGTCCCTATAAAGAGACTCCAATGCCTGTATCAAGCCAGTGCTCAACCCAAATGAGTTCAGTGTTTGCCATAGCACATCCCTATTCACTCTGTCATAGGCCTTTTTCAAATCCATGAACGCACAAAAAACCTTTTGGTTTTTGGCCAAAACTTCTACGCGATCATGCGCATGGAAAAGATTTGATCTGTACATCCCATTCCCTTTCTAAATCCCGCTTGCACATCCCAAATTTTTCCATCAGTTTCTTTCATGACCCTTTCAATCAGTACCTTAGCATACAGTTTTCCCACAATGCTAAGAAGGCTGATGCCACGGTAGTTTTTACAGTCCTGCTGCGACCCTTTTCCTTTATATACTGGGACAATCACGACTTTACACCAGTCTACCGGTACCCGCTTCAGTTCCCAGCATTAATTAAACAAGGTGTGCAGCAGGCCTGCCACCACCTCCTCTCCAGCTCTTAGCATTTCGAGTGAAACTCTATCGTATCCGGCAGCCTTACCTGCTTTCATGCTTTTCATTGCTTTCATTATTTCATTTATACTTATCTCGCTACCTCTTTCCTCTTCTTTCGGAGTTTCTACTTCATTTAGTTCACACGTTGTCTCCTCACTCAAATATATAAATATAAACACGCTTTCAAAATATTCTTTTCATCTTTTTAAACTCAAAACTTCATCATTCTGAATATAGCCATTCTCGTCTCTTATAGTATTAATTATAGGCTGTTTTGAATGTCCCCCTGCAGTTCTTACAAGTTTCCAGAACATTTTTATATTTGCCTGGAAGTTATCAGATATTCTTCTATCATTCTTATCCGTTCTTTTTTGCTTTTTCCTTTCAACTACTTCTTTTACTCTCTTATTTCGACGTTTAAACTCTGCCTTTTTTCTTTCAATCTCATCATTCGTACCGCTAGAATTACCAGCCTTTGTTGCTAGTAAATCTAGCCATGCTCTCTTCTTTGCTTCAACTTCCATACGTATCACATCATCCCACCATAACGTATTATTTTTCCTTTCATTCTTTCTCTTACTAACACCCCATACTTCGGTAGCTGCATCCACTAAACCTTTCTTAACATTTAGCCATACATTCTC